CAGGTTGCAAACTCGATAGGAAAAGTACCAGCGGTACTTGCCACTTATTCGGTCATTCGTTAATCTCGTGGTTTAGTAAGAAACAGGTTAGTGTTGCACTTTCCACCACCGAAGCGGAATATGTCGCTGCGGGAAGCTGTTGTGCCCAAATTCTTTGGCTAAAACAACAACTAGTGGATTTCGGCCTTATACTTGATCATATCCCAATTAGGTGTGACAATATGAGCGCCATTAGTCTATCGAAGAACCTCGTTCTTCACTCCAGGACTAAACACATAGAAATTAAGCATCACTTCATACGAGATCACATCCAAAAGGGAGATGTCACAATTGAGTTTGTTGAAACGAAACATCAATTGGCCAACATTTTCACGAAACCCCTTAGTAGGGAGAGTTTCTTCCACATTCGAAACGAACTTGGCATTTTGGATATCTCTATGAACTAATTCATTTTTTTTATTGACTATACTAATTTGAGCGTCGGAGGCGCGATAAATTCTTTTTGCAGGGCTTTTATTGTAGATATTTCTTCCCTTGGTATTCAACCGAATTGGACTTGATTTTTTAAACAAAGCTGTAATCGATTATTCCTCAAAGAGAAATTGATTAGTCGCCTCTGTCTTTCTTAATCGATTAATCGTTTCTTTTTAATCGATTAAAATACAAAACGTCTTTAGCGCTGATTCACCTTTTAATCGATTAATTTTGTTCAATTAATCGATTAGACTCATCTGTCCATATTAATCGATTAACCATCTCTGTTTAATCGATTAATATCTTGAACAGAGACGTCTGGTTCTGCTTACTTCTAATCGATTAATAAACTTAACTTAATCGATTAGCCTCGGATGTGTTCCCTAATCATTTAAATATTTGTGATTAATCGATTAATAGTCGATTTTTGCCTTATATCACACTCAGTCTTCTTCTTCTTCGCCATTCCTTCGTTTCGAATCACAGAAACCCTAACTTCTTCCCTTCTCAATTTTTCTCAATCTTCATCATAAAGTTCTCAAATCTCTTCCATTTTTTTGCCAAATTTCATCAATTTCAAAAAGGAAGAATGCCAAGGTGTAAGAACGCTTCCTCGGGTCAAGAAACGGCGGCAGAGGAGAATGAGAGGCCATGGCGTCGTGAAGGGAGCAAGTACATTCACATTCAAACGGGTCTCGCCTTCAACACTGGGGCTTCAGTTGAGAGGTTCCACAACATCTTCCTCACGAAGGAGATCGTCTCTCCCAAGA